TATGGCTCCTCTCCTTGTATTCTTGAAAAATGCTTGGAGCACTAATTAGTGGGAGTGGGTCCCGCCAGTAGTGATGTGATGTTTTGGTCTTGGAGTTGTATTTTTTTTTTTTTTTACTTTTTTAATGCATTAGTGCTATTAGTGGTAGTGTTTTTAGTGGGATGAATCATTGTTGTTGTATTCTTATCTTCTCACTAAATTCTCTTGCTTTAATTCTTGTGTCCTCCCCACTTTTCTCCACCACAACCTTCCTTATTACCTGTGCTATCTCTTCTCTGTTGAGTCTTCCATTCATGTCTCTGCTCACCTCCACACCCACACCCAACTCCTCCACTAGTTTAGCATTGAATGGCTGCTCCAAATGCATGGGTATGCCTATAATTGGAACCCCAAACTTTAGGCTTTCCAATACTGAATTCCATCCACAATGACTCACAAATCCACCAATGCTTGAGTGAGCCAGAATTTTTGCTTGTGGAACCCAACCCTCCACAACCACTCCTCTCTCTCTTACCTTTTCAATAAACCCCTTTGGCAGTGCTTTTTCAAGCTCTCCTTTCTCTCCATCAGGAAACCTAGCAACCCATATGAAATTAACCTTGCTAAGCTCTAACCCATTAGCTGTCTCTTCAATCTCATCCTTGGACATAAAATATACTCACTGCCAACGGAAACAAACACAGTGGATGACTCACCCTTATTGTCAAGCCATTGTATGATATCAGACTGCTCGTTTTCGTCGTTAATCATGCCTTGAATAAGTGGACCAACAGGGGCAACCTTCTTGTCACCTATTACTGACAGAATCGATGTATTTTCCTTCAAGCTCTCTACAAGTGTTGAACAACACTAAGTTGCAAGATGGTTGATCATTTACAGGGGCAACTTGCCTGTCTCTGGATGCTTTAGCATTCTCGAGAAAATGGCGATATTGCGTTTCATGGTATCCCTGAAGCTTAATTGCCGGAAATGGGAATTCAACACCACCATCGTGATTAATCATATGACGGGTAACGGAAAACACCGTAGCTCCGCAAATCATGAACAGAATTGCCGGAATATTATACGAGGAGGCAATGGATGGTGCCCATGATGGGTTGAAGTCATGAATAACCAAGTCTGGGCTTAGTGTTTTGAGGATGTTGGAGAAGTCTTGGCTTACCATTTCAAAGGCTTTTTGGAGGGTGGAATTGAGATGGAGTGGGAGGCCATTGGTGGTGTGGTGGTGAGGAGGAAGCTCAGGGAAGGATGGAAGGTGGATTTCTACTAGTTCAATGGAGAGAGAGAACTTATCTGTAATTCTTTTCTTGATGGATTTGAGATTGATTGCTGTTGAACACAAATATATGTGAAAGTTTCTCTCAGAAAGTTTCTTCGCAAGCTCTAGGAAGGGAGAGATATGACCATGGGCCAACCATGGTAGCATTAGGACATTCATCTTGCTCTGTTTTGAATCCATGATTCTCTCTCTCTCTCTCTCTCTCTCTGGTGAGGCTTTTGTTTTGGTGATGGGTGATCAAGGCAAGAATGGTGATGCACTCAAAAGTATATACATATGCATTTATATAACATCATGTTGACGCATGATGGTACCAACGAAAACACGAGGCCAATAATTTTAAAAAATTCATTCCCACGTGATTTACATAAATATGTTAAATATAACGGTATTAGAGTATCACACAAATCTCTTCAAATTTTTAGTTAAGTTATAACTTAAAAAGTTATTTTGCTATTTTAGCTAGTCACATTTTTAGTACTCACCTCATCAAACTCTCTATTTTAACTCAATCCGATTAAAATATTATTTTTTTATTATATTTGTTTTTTTTTCTTTTTTTTTTATTATTAAATTGATGAGTTGGCTTGATCAAATAGCATTTCTAGCCAAACATAATGGTAAAACTGGAGGAAATAGGGGCTTGCGGTTTGGCTCGGATAGCCATTGTGTTGATCTCCGATTGAGTTGAAATTTTTGTGGTTGATCTACTCAATCAACTCTAAAATATGAACATATCGAATCATTAGAAAGGCATCGACACAGTGGCCAACTGGTGCGTTTCGCGCAAAATATAAAGACCCCAAATCCAAAACTGGACCATTTTCTTCAATCATTCTGATGTGCATTCCAACGGCTATATTTATCAACGGTCATATCCTTCTACTATAAACAATAACATATGTTCTCTAGTTCTGACAAGCTAAATGAAATATTTTTCTTTCATTCTATCCTCATTAATTTTTTATATATGGATCTTCATTTTCTAGACATGATTCTTTATGACTCCGACTCCGATAATGAGTTGGAGATAGTTACAATAGCTTCTATGGAAGTCGAGAGTTCATCAAGGTCACGACATGCTGCTCGTAAACAACGTGAGTTCGTTTGGCGTAATCCTTTGCAAGGCCATCAAAGGCTTTTCCTCAACTATTTTGCTGATCCACCAGTATATCCTCCCAAATTATTTTGGAAAAGGTTTCGAATAAATTGTTCTCTTTTTCTCTGCATTCAATCTGAAGTAGAAGCTTATGAACCATATTTTGTCCAGAAAAGAAATGGTGCTGGAGTTCTCGGTTTGTCTTCTCTTCAAAAAATAACTGCGGCTCTTAGAATGCTTGCTTATGGAGTATCAGTTGATTTTATGGATGAATACTTGAGGATTGGAGAAAGTACTGCAATGAAAAGCCTAAAGAAATTTTTCAAAGCAGTGGTTGCAATTTTTTCTAATGAGTACCTGAGGTCACCGAACAACGATGACATTGCTAGACTTTTAGCTGTTGGCGAAAGTTGCAGTTTTCCTAGGATGTTAGGGAGCATTGATTGTATGCACTAGACCTAGAAGAATTGCCCAACTGCATGGAAATGTATGTATACTGGCCATGCACATGTGCCAACAATTATTTTGGAAGTAGTAGCATCATATGATCTTTGGATATGGCATGTATTTTTTGGGTTACTTGGGTATAATAATGATATCAATGTTTTAGAATGGCCTTCCGTATTTACCGAGCTTGCTCAAGGGCGTGCTCCTCGAATTAATTACACCATTAATGGAAATGAATATACCATGGGATACTACTTTGTTGGTGGTATATATCCATAATGGGCAACTTTTGTTAAAATAATTCCTTGTCCACAAGGAAAAAAGAATAAACATTTTGCTGAGGCCCAAGAGGCATATAGAAAGGATGTAAAGCGTGCATTTGGAGTGCTTCAAGCACATTTTGCAATTGTGCATGGACCTACATGACCATGGGATCTTCAGACTCTTAAAGATATTATGAAGGCTTGCATAATACCACACAACATGATCATTGAGGCTGAAAGAGATGACGGAAGAGAGCAAAACATTGATTATGCACAAATCAATAAAATCCCTCATGCACAAGTGTCACTTGAACGTACACCTGATATCATGGAATTTATTCAAGAACATCATCGCATAAGAGATAGAGAAACTCATTCTCGACTCCAATCGGATTTGGTTGAGCACTTGTAGCAAATCTATAGCCAATCTTAGGTTGTAAAAATTGTTCTATTTTCTATTTGACAGCTTTATATGATTAATGTGTTCATTTTATAATGCTTTCAGTACTAATTATCCATCTCATGATTACAACCTTTGCTATAGCTTGTAAGTTTTTTTTTCTAACTACTGTAGCTTGTAAGTTGATTTTTGGGAAAGTCATTTGTTAGACATATTGATTTTGATGATTTTATTTATGTTATGTTTTGATTTTTTTTGATGAATTCATTTGATCAAAATGTTATAAATTATCCATATTAATTCATCATATTATTTTGTGGTTTTTGGAGGTGAAAATCAAGCCCAAATTCAGCACAAAAAAGCCACAAAATAGCCCCAAATTCAGCACAAAAATAGTTGCAAAGTAGCCCCGAAACAGCAGCAAAATAGCTCCAAAACAGCAGCAAAAACAGTAGCAAAACAGGCCCTGAAACAGCAACAAAACAGCACAAGCAGCAGCAGAACAAAGGAGGCTGAAAATACATTGGGTGGACATCTGGGCGGATAACCGGTGGGATAATCGGTTAGCCAAAACCAGCCCAGTTCAGCTCAATTTCATTATGATTTCCTATGTGTTATATGCAAGAAACTGGTCTATCGACCTGTAGTTTTTAATTTGTCATGTTTTCATATTAATGCAAATCAACTTATATAATATATGTATGTTTCTTATTGAGAAATAGAATAATCTTTGTAGCACCAAACTTCAACAAGTAGAGCTTACAAAATACCAATGTATTATATAGGCAAAAGTTACAAAATATACATAAACCTTACTTTAGTCAAAAGTCACAAAAAAAACCCTTGTTTCTACATCGTCAAACCAAATAGCACAAAAGTATCTAACTATTTCATCCAAACAAAATCTACCAAACTAACAGTCAAAAGTTACAAAAAAGCATAACAGTTTCATAAATTACTCGGAAATGTTGCTCTTTCTTCGATTCTCAATGATTTCATTTGGCGCTAATAATAGTATTCTTGTTGCATTGGGGACATCCAACTTGTATCCATCATTATGATTCTCTCTTCTTCCTTCAATTTCTCGAATTTAGCTTTTTTAACGTGAATAATATATGATTTCTCAAGCATTTCAAGTTTTTTCTCAGTTCCTTTCTTTTTCTCTTCTTTCATGTCAATTAGCAAGTCTACAATCGGAGAACTTGTAGTATCTTAGCTCTTCAATTTTTTTTGCCTTTCTTTTTCTGTCTTCTTGCCAATTGGTCTCTCAAATTATATATGTGTATCTCATGAGATCTTATCTTCCTCTAGATTGACTAACTCTGGTGTTGAATGTGAAGATGTGGAATTTCAACTCCTTTTTGGATTTTTTGTTTGGTACGTCTCAAACCATTTTGGTTAATGCCTCAACACATTCCAGCAATGTTCGAATGGAAATAAGGTTTTATGAACCTCTTGGTACATGAGTTTTGCCTTGCCAATCTGGAATATATATATACATACATATATATATATCAAAATTTTAAAATATATTGAATGGTAAATGTTTAAATATCTATGTAATTGATACCTTGTCTTGCTCATTCACACCGCTTTCACACATTGATTCAATTTGAGCAAAGTACCCACAAAATTTATTGGTTCCAAGTTGAATGATTGACCACCGATTCATCAAAGAATTATCAGTACGTTCACTAATAAATGTTTTGTGCTCGTGGAAGTACTCCCCAACTCTCCTCTAGAATGTCTTACTTTTTTGCTCATTTCCATACACTGCATCTAAGCTAGTATTAAGCCAAGCTGATATAAGCAAATTGTCTTCTTCTTTAGAAATGTTGCTACTGCGTGACTTTTTCATAACAGATTCTTTTTTGGTTGAAAACTGAGATTCTTGGCTAGCACCTTGACTAACTTGGTTCAGACATTGAGACTTCATGAATTGGTTGTCAAGGATGGAGCCCTCTTGTAAAAGATTGGTAAAGAAGGGGTCTCCATTTGAATCCATCCTACAAGATAGAGTGAATGAAATCAAAATGAATCCATCGTTCAAGATAGAGTGAAAAATTTCAAATTGAATCCATCCTAACAAGACAGTAAGTTAGCACTTTCGTATAAAATAAAATCGATTCAATGAAGCCTACTAAGAACACCTCCAACCCTTAACTCAATTTTGGGAAAAAGAGCACATGTGTTAAGTTTTTGTTGGATTAAATAAGAGGAGTTAACAGTTTTTTTTTTTTTTTACAAAAATTAAATTTGATATGAATTTGAGTGAAGAATTTGAGTCTTCCTTTGAGTATAACTCAAGTTGATATAAGTTTGAGTAAAGGGTTGAGCTTGGAGGAGTGTTTTGATTATTGTTTACTAAAATTTGAATTTTTTTTCTTTTTTGAAAGGCAAAAGGAAGATTTTATTATATAAACAAAATTACATAACAAAAGCTTAATATAAGGAAGCATCATAGGTAGCTAAGCTAACATCCCAACAGAGGTAATATGGAAACAACTACCCAATCAAATGCTAGCAAAAACTGCAAACAAGGTTGGAAAAAAAGTGTTGGTAAGGCACCAACACAACCAACTCCCAGCAAGCCAGAACATGCCCTCTAGGTGTGCAGGAAATTGGTGATACTCCACACCATAGCAGCAAAGCATCCATTAGAAAACTAGCACATTCACCACACTTCATACTGTCAATGACTTATCTATATTGTTATACTCTAAAATGGTATGCTGAGAAAGATTAAAATCTTAAAGCACTACTTCCTTTCTATTCCACTTAAACAAAATAGAGATCAAAAAGTGGAGTTGAAGATTAAACAATAGGCAAATGTAGGATGACTTAATTATAACTAAAAAAAAGTTAGGGATGACTATTTCTTGCCCCTTTGACACGAGAGGATTTTGTCTTTCTCTTTAATGTCATTTGTCTATGCACATCAAGAACATTAGCTTTATATGCCTGAGATTTCAAACAACAGAAAAGTTTCAATGCCTTAATTAGATATACAGAAGGTAACAAACATAAAAGGCTAAACATTTGGTTTTGGCTCAATTTGTTGTTTAACTTGAACACACTTCACCTTTATTTTTTTCTACTTGTTCTCATAGTAATTCACCTTTATCTATTCTCTCTCTGAGAGTTATATTTAATGACATGAACAATCAACAATACATTTCACACTTAATTACTTTTAACTCAACAGTGGTAGACAATGGGGCAAATTAATTTTATGCACTAATTACTCATCAAAAATCTTAAAATTATACCATAGTTGTATACAATGTGTATCACAAAAAACATAAAGATCACAAACTATATATGTTCTTTCTCAACATGATAGAAATTTTCTTTACCCAATTTTAAAGATTTTACAAATATACAAGTAATTTCAGCTTTAAAATATCAACATATGCATTTACTTTCATTGAGGCAATTTATCAAACAGTTGTGATACAAGAATTTTGTGCATACAAATTTTCAACGATGTTCAAACAACTTAATTCAATCAAAGAGCCATTGATGGTTCTCAAATAAAAATTACAGACCCCAATTTATCCAATCTAATCCAAATTTAGAGTACAACACAGAGAGAGAGAGAGAGAGAGAGAGAGAGAGAGAGAACCTGAGTTTCAGATATGGTGAAAGCAAATGCTGTGGAGTGGTTGCCGCTATGTAGTTTTGGCGCGGAAGAGGAAGAGGGTAGAGTTTGGCAGGAAAAAAAAATTGAATAATGATGAACAGTAGCTCATTTGTTATAACGAGCTACTGTAGCATCCTCAAATTTTGGCGCGCTTGTAGCGAGATTGATGTGCCTGGTTTTTTGGAGTTCATCTCGTTAGTTTAGCTGGAGAAGTTGTCTACCGAGTTTGATGAGGTTGCTCTTATGGATCATTTTGAAAAGTGAGTTAAAAGTCATTTTCTAACTTTTAACCTATTTTCCTCTCTCACAAAAAAGCTAAAAAAAAATAATAAAAAACAGTAATATGTATTTGTCGCGACCCAAACTCGCCCCTATAAGTTTGGCGTCGTAACCAATCAGTCATCTGAGATTACGAAAGGCCTTCATGTACCATCATAAATAATCGGGGCTAGCGGAAGCAATATACAAAAACACCAATAGTCCAATGAGTTGTGTATCTATATGAACAAATATTTACATGCAAAAACATTAATTTATCCACATTCATTACATAACTTGTAACTTAACATCTTATACATAACAAATGCACATAATAAAAGTTTATTTCTCGATCAAAAGCTTGACAATGGCCTTCTAGGCCTAGCCTAAACTCTAAGGCACTCAAAACTACGCTGTAAGTTTCTGTGTGTGTCAATTTTCGACCACACTGCCAATCAAGCACTCAGCTGGAGAACACTGGCAGAATAGACTAAGCCTGAGCGACCTGCAACAGAAAGAAGAGATCCCAGCGGTGGCTCGTCCACCCGGGGACACTCCGACGATCAAGTCAGTTATCTCTCAAAGATATCAGAAGTGCTCAACTCACTATTCAGAATACAAATTGCATACCTTAGACCCATGGGGGTGCCTCCCTTTTATAGCCAACACAATCCTAGTCCCAATAGAAGCTTAGCTCTGATGGACTTAGGATTACTGCTAATCTTGGACTCCCAGTAGAATTAGGATAAACTCTTTAAGAGTCTCATCTTTACCCAAACTGAAGTCTTCTCCCATTATAAGACTCTTGTCCCTTATCCGCTTTATCTCGGATTCCGGTATTGCCGCAGAATACCTCGGCAGTGCCCCCAAATATCTCGGCAAACATGATCTGTCCACGTAGCACCTCGGCTAACAACCTCGGCCACGTGGACTACCCAAAAAATATGTCCCCACAACTGCTCCCTAGGTTCTATTACCTCAGCAAACTGAGGTGATGGAACCTATATTATCTCTTTCATCTAGCACGTCGGCTAAGCTTGCTTTATGATTTATTGCCAAAGTCAGAACTCGTCGACTCAATATGACCCAGACCTATAGTCTGCTTTCATCAAGGCTTTGGAACCAACAACCAAATTCGTTCAAGTTTCTCAGTCGAAACTGTCCTTCTAGCCGAGGTATTTGTTTCATTAAATCAAGAACTTCAAGAGTTTTCTTCATGCGTATGAGCTGGCACGTACAACTTTTCAATCGTTTCTACCACGCATCTTTCCTCTACTGAGCCGTGTCTGATACGCGTCATTAAGTCACCTTGTATCTGCGTATTTGATCAAAATCTCTTCACTTCTGTATCTTCGTTTTTGTTTAAACTTTCTCTTTCAAATCCTATATTACTATTTTTGCGAAGTTGTCTGCAACCAGTTTCACTCTCCCCTCTGGTGAGCCTTCTGCTGCACTTCCTTGCTTACGGCCACCGTTTGATCCCGGTGAACTTTACTTCGGCTTCATTGCTTTACTCGTTCATGTCTTTTGATCATTTAACCTGTATCTTGAATTTCACCATGTACTAAACATGTACTGTCTTTGTACCTTGTACTTTTTTGTTACTCAAACAATTTATTCTTCAATGTCAGGCCGAAGTGCCTTCTTTCCTTATCTGAATGCATTTTTTAACTTCTTCTTTCAAGTGTTTTGAATGTTTGACCTCTTCTTAATACCTTGTATGATTCCATACTTAGAACACAATTTGCATGTCTTTAACATACACCTTAACTGTGCAATCTCCCCAGGTTAACATACCTCGGACAAAACTTCCGACCTTGCTTATCTCGGTCTCGGTTTAACACTTGAAAAATTTGTAACAAATATTTTCACAAGTGTTGCTTTTACTTCTTAGGACTTTTGTCTTCCATTATCTTCCAAGTCTTGGTAACATAGTCACCTCGGCACGTGTATAGATACTTCTATAACCTTGGATTTAACTTCAACTTGTAAATTTTCTCAAAATTTCAACAAGTGTTAAATCAATTTTCTTTCTCGGTTTAACTTCAACTTGTAAATTCTCTTAGAATTTCAACAAGTGTTGAATCAATCTTTTTTCTCGGTTTAACTTCAACTTGTAAATTCCCTCAGAATTTCAACAAGTGTTAAACATGATCTCGGTTTAACTTCAACTTGTAAATTCTCTCAGAATTTCAACAAGTGTTAAACATAATCTCGGTTTAACTTCAACTTGTAAATTATTTCAGAATTTCAACAAATGTTAAACATCATCTCGGTTTAACTTCAACTTGTAAATTCTCTCAGAATTTCAACAAGTGTTAAACATAATCTCGGCTTGTGAAATTCCAACTCCCAAGCATCATTCTTCAGCCCTTTGCCCCCTAATGTGAACTTAAGTTCCACTTGGGTTCTCATTAGGCACGTGGCTTTGACCTTGATATTGCTCTATAGGCAGGGGATCTGCCCCCTGCATGGTTTCCACATACTCCTTTGTGGAAAAAATTCTTTAACTTAGGCCAAGCTCTTCTCTTCTCGGACTTAATCATCTAAGCCGAGATCTTATTTTCTGGGATCTAGGATCTACTCACTTGGGCTGAGCTCTTGTCTTCTCGTATCCAATGTTATCTTGGCTTTGCTTCGGCGAACCATTTCTCTTCTCTTGTTTAGACGCCTTTGTCCCCGGCGTGTCCTCCTCGGCTCTAGCATACTTTTCCATTTTGGCTATCAGCTCCTTCATGTTTTTCGGCAATGTCTTTACCAGTGATTTTTGAAGCGGGCAGTCATTCTTCAAGTCGTTTTTAAACGACACGACCGCCACCTCTTGGTTGCATCCTGGTATTCGGTTGAATACCTCATAATACCTTTTGGCGTAGGCCTTGAGGGTTTCATCATCGCCGATCTTCAGGGCCATTAGGGCGTCCACCTTCAATGGCTGTAGCTTGTTTGTCACGAACCTGGCCACAAACATCTCGGCCAGGCCTTCCTAGGTTTTCACAGTTCCTTTCGGTAACTTGTGAAACCAGTTCGATGCAATTTCTCCAAAGGATGAGGGGAACACCTTGCAGAACAATGGCTCGTTCTCGGTGTACAATGCCATCGAGTTCAGGTACAAGCCGACATGAAAGTTGGAGTCCGACTTACTGTCGTAGATCTGGAATCTCGGCATGCTAAACCTCTTCGGGGCTTCGAATTTGTCCAATTTGGCTTGACCGGGGAGATTACCTCGGCGTCTTGTTGCTTCTTCTGTAGGTGATCTCTCAAGTCTTCCTTGGTCCGCCCAGGAGCTCGGCTATCTCCTGAATTTAATCTTTTCGGTGCACTGTTCTCAGCTTCGTTGTGAGCCATTTTTGACCTTTCTCCATTAGTTGTGTTGAAGCACAACTCCTACCCTTGAACATGCCGATGTTCTTTGGGGTCTTCTTCCTTGGTACGGTGTGTCCTTTAAGATTCTTCCCTTCTCGACCCTCCTCGCCCAACCTCCCTTGAAAGTCGGTGAGAGTGTTCTTCGGTCCTGGTGTGTTGGGGGACTACAGGGACTGTTTTCTGCCCTCCCTTCTGGGCAGTGGCCGCTGGAATCGGCGTGTCCTGCAGCGGGAACGGTGACTGCATGACGTTGTTTTACATCATGAAATTGATGACTGATTGCAGGTTTGTCAATTTATTCGCCATCTCTTTCACCTCTTTGTCCCTCAACAGGCATCTATCTTTCCATACCTGGAGGTCGTCCTCATTGTAATACCCGCTTCGATCCGATTTCTTTGGTATGTCATCCTTCTGGCCGACGTCTTTCTCTCCGTGATTCTGGTTTCGAGTCTCCTCGTTCCAACCATCTTCCTCCATGTTAGGGCCAACATGATTACCGTTCCCAACAGGGATTTCGTCTCCAACCTTATTCTTCTGTCCGTCGCTGGCCATCTATTCTTCTTTATTTCCCACAGACGGCGCCAAATTGTGTGTGTGAATTTCCGACCACACTGCCAATCAAGCATTCAACTGGAGAACACTGGCAGAATAGACTAAGCCCGAGCGTCCTGCAACAGAAAGAAGAGATCCCGGTGGTAACTCGTCCACCTAGGGGCACTCCGACGATCAAGTCAATTATCTCTCAATGATATCAGAAGTGATCAACTCACTATTCAGAATACAAATTGCATACCTTAGACCCATGGGGGTGCCTCCCTTTTATAGCCAACACAATCCTAGTCCCAATAGAAGCCTAGCTCTAATGGACTTAAGATTACTGCTAATCTTGGACTCCCAGTTGAATTAGGATAAACTCTCTAAGAGTCTCATCTTTACCCAAACTGAAGTCTTCTCCCATTATAGGACTCTTGTCCCTTATCCGCTTTATCTCGGATTCCGGTATTTCCGCAGAATACCTCGGTAGTGCCCCTAAATATCTCGACAAACATGATCTACCCACGTAGCACCTCGGCTGACAACCTTGGCCATGCGGACTACCCAAAAAATATGTCCCCACAATTTCAAAACGATGGCTCGACTAAAGACTCCTTCTAGACTTGTCCTCCAGAACACTCACCTATACATATATATATATATATATATATATAGAGTTAAAATCCAATGAATAACATTAAAGTAAAGGGGTTAATGAACGAATTCCAAATATATCATATCCGTAAAACAAATCATGACACGATCATTCATATCAGTCTCATATCAGAACATAACATAATGGTACATCTCATAGAACATATCACATATCGTCTTCCGACTAGAGTAATCGGTTCTGGATACCGATTAAACACATATCACCACAATGAAGTGGCTAACGAGATGTCGTAATCACATATATGTCATGGACCCGCATTAACATGCCGTCTTCCATGACTTGGGACTATCTATGGATGCCATAATAGATTTCAAATATAGGACATTCGTTCACATAAACAAATATCGTTTCAAAAATCATAACTTATCAAATCACATTTGGAACATAATTCATATGAACATATCTTTACAATAACGCTACTCACAGTGGGCTTCCAGAACGATTGGTCAAGCAGTCCTTGACTCGTGACCTACAATCACAAATATGCATAGCACGATACACAATCATCTTAAACATTAGTTCACTTAAGCTTTTAAATATAAATGACTAGAATTATGAATTAATTAGATTACTAATTTCTTTTAATCTCTAATTAAAACATGTTTAGGTATGTAATAACCAAAGTAACTAAATATAAATAATCTAATCATAAACCAATCCTTATTAAGTTCACTAATTACACAATCAAGCCTAAATTAGGCTCATGCACATTAAATTACAATTATTCAGTCATATTTCAATTACTGAATCAGAAATTCATAAACATATAAATTCGCAATTTCAACTTCATGTTCAAGCAAATCAAGGCCCAAAACCTCCCATAAACATGTTGAATTTACCATCTAGAGCTTCCAACAAACTCATTACTTTAAATTGAAACTCAAAATCCATGAAAAGACTTCAAACCCTTAAATTAAAACATCAAACTCATAATCTTGAACTTTAATCTTTGACTTCATGGAGGTTTCCTCCTCAAGTTGGAAAACTCATGCATGATTTCTTCTTGATTAAATTTAAATCCTCAAAATCCATGACATTTTCCTTCAATCTTGAAAGCCCATGCATAAATTGCAAAATATATAAATAAATCTTCATGAAATCATCCATGTATGAAGGAATTCAACTATGTCTTGATTTTCTATGACAAAATATATGCAAGAGACCAAATTACTTCCATGAATTCAACACTAGAACACATAAATGTTCATACATGGGAGCTAATCTTTCATATTCATCATCTATGAGCTCTCTCTTACGTTAACTCTATAATTTCCTAAATCCAAAGATATGATGAGTCTAATTTATAAATAAACACTTACCTAGAGCTTGATTTTAGATTATAGGATGATCTCTTCCTAGCTCTCTTCTTCTTTCTCATCAAAATCTTGAGCTCTCTCTCTCTCTCTCTCTCTCTCTCTCTCTATATATATATATATATATATATATATTCTCAACACAATGAACCAAAAAAATAAAACCTTCATTCTAAGCATCAAATTATACACACACACCCTCCCATTTGAATTGCACATCACGAATAGTCACATACACACACGCACACTGGTTTCTCTGCACACACACCCAGATCTCAGTACACTCACCAGAATTTAATCTCTTACACTCACCATCACAAAATGCTCAAACACTTTTTACATTTAATCAAATTTTAAATCATGAATACAGCTGAATTAGATACTAATCATGTAACATCTTGGGCAAATACAATTAATCAAAATTATCATAAAACTCGATTTACTCAGAATACTTCCAATTAAGGCTCAATCCGATTACAGACAGTTTCAGTAAATTGAATCAATTCCAATTAAACTTATCATAATGTTCTAAAAATTCCAAATAATTTATTCATGTAACCAATTTTGATTTCAAATGCCGCTAAGGCTTTCAATTTTCATATCCATACACATATGTTCACAATATCACAATTAAATTTAAACACATAATTAAATTAATATAATCAAATTAAGTCATTCTGAATCAGATTTTTGTAAAACTTCATATTAAGTCCTAAAAATCATGTTGATTATAATTATGTATTCCATTCTAGTTTCTGAAACCACTACGACTTTCAATTTGCAGTGTAAAGTTGCAATTAATCCACCCAAACACACCTTAACGAATTAGACGAAATAAATTTTCATTTAAACTTCCCAAATGGCTCTAAATATTCCCATTAACATATCTATATACTCAATTTTAGTTTCTGAACCCATTAAGGTTGTCAACTTCAGTTTCAAAGACAATCTCACAACATATAGCTTCTCGATTTAAATAGATATTTACAACGAATCAAATTAGATAATTCACAATTAATCACTTGGCACATGTCATAATTAAAATTCAATACATCATTAATCACTTATAATTACGATTAACATTTTGGGATCGTCACAGTACTAATGATATATTATCACTATCTAATAATTATTTACTGACTCAACTAAAATTTATTTTTTTAATTTTTTTAATCACACCATATTTTTATTTTTTTTAATTTTTTTTTTGAAAAAAATAACAAAACTTAAAAAATTAACTTTTAATTTTTTTCTCAAAACAAGCAAAGTGAGATTCATTATATATATATATATATATATATATGTTTATTGGGAAATTATTCAATATTTTTGGAATATCACTTGTTTGTACTCCTTAACCAATCATCATTTAATATGTCCTCTCATGTTCCCCAATCACCCAACGCTAGGGGTGGAAGCGGGTTAGATGCAACCATGGAACCTCCAATTTGCTATTCTTCGGCAAGATTGGCGAATTAGAGAAAATCAATTTGCATCCGTCTGCTAATTCGGCGAATGTGGATTGAGCACATTGGTGAATTGACGGATGAATGCGAATCGGTTTGGCAGTTTAAAATTTTGCAAATTTTCAACATAATTCAACTTGTGCACTTCTTCAAAAAATAAAAATAAAAATAAAAATAAAAATAAAAGGTATTACAGTTAATGACTTAAAAAAGTTTTACAACCATTGCATGCCTCATCCAAAGAAAGAAAATTTAAAAGTTTGAAAATTTAGAATACTACAATCACTGTATGTCTCATCCACATAAAGTATTACAATCTGTAGTTCTTAAAATATAAAAACAATTCAAACCACCAAAATCATGAATAGAGCAGTAGTAGAGATTGTATGCTTCTGTATTGTTACATCTATATATCTGTTTTTTAAAATAAAAATCAACCAACATATATCATCTTATTTATTTATTATTTCTAGAGTTAAATTTAAAAACCAAAAAATATAGATAAATAATACATTTATTTTTTTCAATTCAAAAAATATATTCAAGTTGAAAACTCTTGTTTAACAAAATCTTTAAACTTTTTTTCAATTGAAAACACAAACAAAATATATAAATAAATTGAAAACACAAGTCTTACAAAGTACGAGGGGTACTCGCGGATTAGTGGTTCGGTTGGAGCCAAAAGAATTTCAAATCCGTTATCCGTCCAAAACTAGAAAAATTAAAAAAAATTAATCCGCAACCGTCTGCTCGTCATCACACATCCGTCCAAAATGCGACGGATCGTTTCGGTTCGGTCAGCTTGGACAGATCGGTACATCCGCTGTTTACACCCAATGTAATATCCTACCTACTTATTTTATTCACCAACTACAATATTATAAAATATCACGCATTTATATTTTGAAATTATTGAATAATTAACCATGTTTATTATTGATGGGTGGTTTCACCGTCGACACGCTATCCTGGTCCACGCAGGCTTTTGTTGAAGAGTGATGGGTTATCAAATACCACTGGAAACACGAGGTCATCATCACTATAGAAGATTTATTCCCATGCGACCCACGCGGATGAATAATTTTGAGAACATTTTGTTATTCAGAGTTAAAAGTTAAACTTATTTTTTAAATTTAGTGATATATTAAGAAAATAATTAGTTAATAATTAAATATTTTTTAATTATCAATTAATAATCTTTTTGAGACATTACTAAATTTATAAAGTGAGTCTAAAAAGTAGACTTGTACATTATTTTTTAATTTTGAATTGTTTTGTCACAGGTCAGTACTCTTGGGACATTGATCTAATTACTCAAAGTTACTTAAATTATTATTGTTTATAAAATTTATTATTGACCTATAATTAATTTTAAAAATTTACTATAAATTGTAATTTTCCTATCATATATATATATATATATATTAACAGTTGACCCATGCAATATACGTACTACTTTTTTTCAAAAATTCGTCTTCAGGATCATTTTAAAATGAGGAATGAAAATTTTCCTCATTTTTCTCAGGTCCGTTCGTTATTTTGATTTATGTTGGAATTCCTCATTTTTTCCCAAACAAATTTGATGTTAAAGCAAAAAAAAATTCCCAAAAAAATGAGGAATGAAAATTTTCCTCATTTTTCTCAGGTTCGTTCGTTATTTTGATTTATGTTGGAATGCCTCATTTTTTCCCAAACAAATTTGATGTTAAAGCATGCCGAGTATAACAATGTGTTATTTCTGTTGAATTTTTGATGGATTTGTTGTTGAAACAGATGTGTTATTTCTGTTGAATTTTTGAAAATTTTTGTTGATTTGGTGTTACAGAAGTGTTATTTGTGTTAATCTGTTCAAGATTAGGAACACCTTTGTTAAACTATTATTTGTGTTAGGAACACCTTTGTTAATCTGTTCAAGATGTGTTATTTGTGTTAGGAACACCTTTGTTCAAGATTAGTATAGTCTCATCATGCTCACCATTTGACTGCTGAATTGTTGATTTGCTGTTACAGATGTGTTGTTTGTGTTAATCTGTTCAAGATTAGGAACACCTTTCTTAATCTGTTAATCTGTTCAATTGGAATAATGACATTATGTGTAATCTGAGATGATGAGATGGTGAGATCCATTTGACTGCTGAATAATGTGAGATGGTGAGATGTGGAATATATTGTGTAATCTGGGATCTCATCATGCTCCTTTCATTTTTTGTTCATTTTTTGTTAATCTGGAATATATTGTGTTAATCTGGGATCTCACCAAATTGAGCATCACTTGATTTTGTTCAATGTTTGAGACTGCTGAATATATTGTGTTGGCCATGAACATGCACTGTAGGGTTGGCCATGAACACCTTTCTTTTTGTTCACCTTGATTTTGTTCAACTCTAGTGATTCCAGGAAGGTCCACCATTGTAAGATTAGGAACACCTATTTTGTTTGACACAGGCAACTGCCCTGTTTATTCATGTTTTCAAAAACCATTGTCATGTTTTCTTCTTTTTCTTTTGACAAACTATTGTTTACATGCATTGCCATTATAGATCAGAGATGCAATCCAAGTCCTACTGTCAAACAATCCAAGTCCTGCTGAATCATGTACTGGTCTATATTGGTCCAATATTGATCAAACAGTCCTGCTGTCAAACAGTACTTCTCCAAAGAAATTATTTGATCTATATTGGTCCAGACCAAATTCAGGACTCATTCTGTTGCCATATAAAAGGGAAAAAGTTTGATTCATGTCTCTCAAAATGATAGCATACTACCATATGAACTGTATTATCATAGCACAGTTCCTCTATCTCACATGCATCTTTGTATGTGACCTTTTTATGATTGGATTTCTTTTGTAGTTACTACCACTTCATTTGATTAATTTTCGCTTGTAGTTTGCAGCTTCTATGCTTCATCTAGGTATATCTCTTGCCCTCATATTATTTGTTTCCTGATTTTTTAAATGAAGTTTAATTTTAGATGGATGATTCATACTCGTTTAGGGAATTATTACATTATAATTTCATGGCTAGTCTTGTTAATTTACAATGAAAGTGAGTTTGGATGTAAACACATATACCAAAATCCATGTTCAAGGTTTAAGGTTTATAGAAAAATTTGCATGAAATCATTCACAGATAGCATACAGTAGTGCATGCATACTAAAGATTGATCTAGCTATTTCATTAACTTCTGAAATCTAGCAGCTTAATAATTGTAAGTAGTATAAGATTGGGAAAATACCTAGTTGGTTTCAACTTCTCAATTGCAATTGCTATTCTTATATACTTTAGTAGTCAATTTAGGTTCATGTCATGCAATTTCCATTTTACTAATACATCATGAACTATGTATATGATCTAGGAATAAACATGAACTATGTATATGACTAGGATGAACATGAACATGAAAATAAAATTAAGAATTAACATGAACATGAAAATGACAATGTTTATTTTACATATTTGTTTGAATGTTGTCTTAATGGACTGATTGTAATTGTGGAAAATGCTCTTACTAGGATCATGTCAATGTCAATGGGTTCAAAACATTGATACTGGATATTTGCAAAATCAGAGATGCAATTGTGGAAAAAAAGCTGCAGTGTTCATATCAGAATCAGAGAAAAATCCAGGGAGGCTGTATTTCAAGTGTGCAACTAGGATATGCGAGTACTTTGGATGGGGACCGGCTTCGACTGGGAATGCATCAGATATCCAAAGGAAAAGTAAAGCTACTTATCTGAAGAATGAAGATGAGAGAGGCTATGATTATGATGTTGACAAACTGAATCAAATTATAAATAGATTGGAACGAGTTGAAGCAAACCAAGAAGCTATGAAACTGTTTATGTTCACAGCCATTGTGTTGATTGGTTTTACCATGCTAATAGCACTACTGAAGTGAATGTAATCTTTTAGTGATGCGCTTAACCTTTTTTTGGTGGATGTATTTGGGTAACCTTAGTGAATGTAACCTTTTTTTTTTTGGTGGATGTATGTGGGTTTTGAATGTTGTAGACCTGAAACTATGAATGTTGATATGTAAAGCTTAATGGAATTACCTATGTTTGACGAATGTGATGCGTCCTTAAACTATGAATGTTGATATGTAAAGCTTAATGGAATTACCTATGTTTGACGAATGTGATGCGTCCTTAAACTATGAATGTTGATATGTAAAGCTTAATGGAATTACCTATGTTTGACGAATGTGATGCGTCCTTAAACTATGAATGTTGATATGTAAAGCTTAATGGAATTACCTATGTTTGACGAATGTGATGCGTTCTTAAACTATGAATGTTGATATGTAAAGCTTAATGGAATTACCTATGTTTGACGAATGTGATGCGTTTCTGTTTTGTTTCTGTGAATGACATTATAATGTTCTGGACAGATCTCATTATTTTATAACGTTGTGGACAAATAGATCTCATTATTTTATAACGTTGTGGACATATTTCATTATTGTATATTCTTATTATTGGTCAGGTCGTACTTGTTCTTCACCAAATTTGTCCACAACATAACCAAATCTGTCCACAACATAAGACAACCAAATCTGTCCACAACATAACCGAATCTGTCCAAAACAATATAAATGTATCCAAATCTGTCCAGAATCCAAATCTGTGCAGACAACACAAAATAACACAAACCAAAACCAAATCTGTCCAAAAAAAAAATTGGTCCAAATCTGTCCAGATCATTCCAAATCTGTCCAGAACATGATAAACCTTTGCAACACAAAATAACACAACCAAATTTGTCCAACATTCATGAGACCAAATCTGTCCAAAACTATCCACAACATTATAAACCTGTGCAACACAAAATAAGACAACCAAAACTGTCAAAATCTGTCCAGATTATTCAACACATGTCTAGAACAGTATAAACCTGTGCAACACAAAATAACACAACCAAATCTATCCAACATTCATGACACCAAATCTGTCCAAAACTGCCCACAACATTACAAACCTGTGCAACACAAAATAAGACAACCAAAACTGTCCAAATCTGTCCAGATTATTCGACACATGTCTAGAACAGTATAAACCTGTGCAACACAAAATAACACAACCAAATCTATCCAATATTCATGACACCAAATCTGTCCAAAATAAAAGCAAACTATCCATAGGATGTCCATATCATTCCAAATTTGTCGACAACATTATAAACCTGTGCACCACAAAATAACACAACCAAATCTGTCCAACATTCATGAGACCAAATCTGTCCAAAATAAAAGAAAACTGTCTAAATCTGTCCAAATCATTATAAATCTGTCCAACACAAAATACATCTGTCCAAAACAAATAAAGATAAAATAAACTTCTCAGGGATGTCCATCTACATGACTGTCAGCAGGACTATGTGACGCTTGCGAGAGATGGACTGCAAAGTTTTCAACACTTGTACCTCGAAGCAACCCCTGAAAAGATCTGTGAGTGGGATACACAGAAGGCATTGACTGAGGCGTGTTATTTCCCTGCAATACACCAAACCATGTATTCAACTTCGATTACAATGTATACTACATTTTAAATGTAAACTATGTCACTAATTATAACTCACATCATGTGTACCATACGTAAGAGGAGGACCACTTGTACCACCCATAAGAACTTGAGGTCGAGGTTGAGATGGAGAAATGTAGATATCATGACGATGATCCTAAATTAATACCCATGACGAAAAACAAAAAAAAAGAAACAAATATTTTAAATTAATAACCAAAATTTTTTAAAAACTAAAGAAACATCATTGAACATTAATATTACCTTATTATAATTAATACCCATGACGAAACGAGGTTGTGATTGAGAAAAATTTACACCAAGACCATGATCCTAAATACAACCAATAGAAACTATGTAAACAAAATATTTGAATAAAAAACATGGTCATTATTTAACATTTTCTTAAAAACTTGCACATAAAAAACTATTACCTGATTAGAATTACTACCCATGACGAAACGAGGTTGTGATTGAGAAAAATTTACACCAAGACCATGATCCTAAATACAACCAATAGAAACTATGTAAACAAAATATTTGAATAAAAAACATGGTCATTATTTAACATTTTCTTAAAAACTTGCACATAAAAAACTATTACCTGATTAGAATTACTACCCATGATGAAACGCGATTGTGATTGACCTTGGCAAGTATAAATAGCAGCACTCGACTGCATTGCCAAACAAACCAATTAAAGATAACAAAAATTAAATGCCAAGGAACCCAACTTGGGAAGTGTAAACAGTAATAAGGTTGTGATTCACGCATGAATAAAATTATCATCCATGATTCAAAAACTAAATACCTGAATAGAATTACCACCCATGACGAAATGAGGTTGTGATTCACCTTGGGAAGTGTAAACAGTACCACCCGACTACATTGCGAAGCAAACCAAGTACACATAACAACAATTAACCATATAATGAACAAAGTTAATGAAATTAACTCATCAAACTAACCATATGAAGACCACATTACTATTAAATATTACCTGAATAGAATTATTACCCATGCGGAAATGAGGCTGAGATTCACATTGGGAAATATAATCAGCGCCACCCTACATACAACGAAAAACTTTAATGAAAGTGGGTCATTACTAAAAAAAATCAATGTTTTAGTTTACTAATCTACTGTATTTTAATCGTATGCAATTTTACTAATCTACTGTATTTTAAAACTAACCATATAAATACGACATTACTATTACATAATACCTGAATAGAATTACCACCCATGACGAAATAAGATTGCATCCTTTTCTTCTTTGCAATAGCTTTTTCCATCTCGCCTTTGATGCTCCTTCTTCCCTTAGTAGTTGACTCTCTTTTCTTCAGTCCCTTAGCTTGGATTGGACAATCTACTTCATCACTCTGTGGGCATGCGTTGCTTGACGAATTTCTCAAATCAGTTACCTCCACTTGACCACAAATGTGGAGACTTAATTTGTCTTCAACCATTACACTCAATTCTTCACCTTTTGAAACTAACAACTGATAAGTTTCTTCACTTTCAGCGGCTCTACTCGCTATTGCTCTAAACATGGTCATTAATGACCGATATCGGTCACTTTGATGTAATTTCACATCAGCCGTCATTTCATACCCACGTCTATCTTTCACTCGTTCAGCCCTTGCTTTTTTAGTCCATCGTTTGAGTATATATTGGGAGGAAGTTCCGTTGCATTGAATACATCTCTAAGCACCTTGACACAATGTCGACATAGTATGCCCTTCACTTCAAACTTCTTGCAACTACAACTCAAAGAACCCCCTCCATCCATTGTCACAATCTTATTTTTTTTTCCATCTACCATTGTTCTTATTGTGAATATGGTGCTCTCACCATCATGAATGGTGCCTATAATGGATGCTTCAATGAACTGCACATACTCATTTTGGAATTCCTCAAAAATTATTTTCGTGTAAATCTTTGCCACTTGCTTTAATATCACAGTTGGAATTGAAACCCTCGGCAATTTTTGGGACAAATTATACTCAGCTTCCAATTCCTTATACCTCTTCTCATAAAGCACCCTCTCAAAATGCATGAAGAACTCCATCAAGTTATGGTCACAATTCAAATAATCCTTCAGAAATGCATTAAAGGATTCACTAAGTTGAGTAGTACTCATTCCAGCTGCCCAAGAATTCCTAATATATGGCCATCCCCATTTCTCCTTCACGCGAAAAGTCTGCTCCAACCAATGATTGTCGAATGCATCATACTTATCAAGCATTTGGTCTCACTGTATTCGGAATTGTTCTTCATCATCAATGTCATGCATAAATTTTGAAAACACAGCCTTGACCCTTACATCATCAAAAACAGAACTTACATGCTTGACAGCATTTTGCATCAAATGCCACGTACAAAGACGATGGTTTGTATCGGGCATGACAATTGCAATGGCCTTAGCCATCGCAGCATCTTGATCTGTGAAAATAGTTTTCGGAGCTTTGTTTGACATTGCCTCCAAAAAAATTTGAAACAACCATGTAAAAGATTCAGCAGTCTCATCATACATCAACGCTGCACCGAATATAACTGTTTCTCGATGATGATTAAATCCAACAAATGATCCAAAAGGTCTATGCTCGTTATTTAGTTTGTAAGTAGTGTCAAATGTGACTACATCACCAAACTGAGCATAGTCCATGATCATTTGAGCATCAGCCCAAAATATATTACTTATCTGTTTATCACAATCTAATTGGACTGCATAAAAAAAAGATGGATTTTCCACAATTTTCTTACGAAAGTAATGCAACACACTACCCGCTTCCCCATATTCTAAATCTTTTTGTCTCTTCGATCTTAGGTAATTTTTTTGGTCCAATTTGGTGAAACCAAGTGATGCTCTTCCACCAGATTCCCTACCAAATAGTTCATAAGCAGACCTAAGAGGAATTCCAGACTGTGAAGCTAATTCTACTTCAATTGCTTGGGTGGTAGATATTTTTCTTTGGAAAGGCAACATATGAATGCAATCTTGAGGCACAAGATCATGATTATGATGTTCAACAAAATCACAAGCAAGATATTTTCCTGAAATTCTATCCAACTTGATACTAAATCGGGCACCACAACCACATCTTACCTCTTGTCTTGGATTTTTGACAAGTGGATCTCGTTTGTCAATACCCCGACTTCCCTCTTTGTAACATACAAACGTACGTGATGTTATCTCCTTCGTATGTTTGTTCTTGTTTGCATAGGCCTTCCTAATACTAAAACCCAACTTTTCCCCATACGTATTGTAAAAGTCATATGCGGCTTGTTCAGAGTCAAATGGCATTCCCACTTTCGGCTTCCAACCACAATCATCAACAATATTACTTTCTTCCATTACCTACAATTCATATATATAAACCACATTTATATATATAAACCACATTTACCTATAATACAAAGATCTAAATTTGAATTAACAGATAAAAATCTGTTAATTGAATTAAATTTGAATTAAAATGGGTTAATCTGAATCAAATTTGAATCAATTTGAATTAAAATCTGAATCGAATTTCAATTAATCTGAATCAAATATATTAAAATCTGAATTTGAATTAACAGATTACACCTAGGCAACAGATTAAAATCTGAAATGGGTTAAAATCTGAATCAATGAATCAATATATAACATTTCAGATTTAGACAGATGTATTAAAATATATCAATATATATTAATGAATCAATGTATAACATTTGAAATCAGATTCATTGATATATATAAAATCTGAATCAATGAATCAAAAAAAAATACATATCAATGAATCAATGTATAACATATGAAATTAGATTCAAATCAATGAATCAATGGGTTCCTTAATCTGAATCAATGGGTTAAAAAATCAATGAGTCAATGAATCAATGGGTCAAAATCTGTATCAATGAATCAATGGGTTAAAATATATCAATATATATCAATGAATCAATGTATAACATCTGAAATCAGATTCATTGATATATATAAAATCTGAATCAATGAATCAACATATGAAATCTGATTCATTTCATATGTATAACATATGAAATCAGATTCAAATCAATGAATCAATGGGTTCAAATCAATGAATCAATGGGTCCCTTAAAAAATCTGAATAACATTTCAACGGGTTAAAAAATAAAATCTGAATCAATGAATCAATTTATAACATTTTAGATTTCAATGCCTAAAATCAATATAGAACCATCAATGAATCAATATATAACAGCAAGATGATGAAATATACCTCGCTGTCGCCGCAATGTCGCCTTCCCACCATCGCATCGCCGCCGGACTCACCGTCACCCACGGTCCTTTGCTCGCCATTGCGTTGCTCCTCCATCTCCGCCATCTCTTTCGTCTCTCAGTTCCTCTCTCAGTTCGCGTTAGTTCAGTCGTCTCTCGCGATAACTCTCTCTCTTCTGCTAGGGTTCAGTCACCTCTCACGATGCCTCTATCTCTTTGCTAGGGTTCACTAACTCAGCAAAGGCGAAGAAAACGATACAGAGAAAGAGAAAATAGGGGAAAGAGAAAATGGGGGAAACAAGGGACTGGGTTTTTGAATTAAAAAAAAAAAAAGTAAATAAAATGGTCGTGGTATACAAAACGAGGGGAAAGAGAAAAGGGGGGAAACAAGGGACTGGGTTTTTGAATTAAAAAAAAAAAAAGTAAATAAAATGGTCGTGGCATACAAAACGACGTCGTTTTGTATACCACGGCAGGATAGTATGGCAGATGATCTGCACTCGTGTATTGCCGCATTTGATGTGGGTGATAGTGTAATTTGACAATGTTGAAATTACTAATATATCCAAAAAAGCTCACTATAGACTTATTTGGTTTTCCCTCGTTTGCGGGTGTTACGGAAGAGATGAACATGGAATCTTCTACGATGGTAATGTAAATGTGGAGATGATTTGTTCATTTTCGATGTTTCAGCATTTGGTAATGTTAAACCCTTAATTGTTGTTTCCAATTTGGTCATTGATTCTCCCTCAAACCCTAGAAATACGAATTGATCTTCTGTAGCGCATCCCGTTTGGTGTTCTGAGGTGTGGGTTGAAGCAGTGTGTGAGTTGGGATAACGTTGCGATAGGTGTTTTTGAAGATTGCGTTCAATCGTTGCAGCGGCACCGCCGTAGTTGGTGGTTGTAGATGACGTCAGGTATGTGATTCGTATAATGTATGTTTATTTTGTTCGATTACATCGTATTTGTGTGGTAGAACCATGGATAACAGTGACTGTGAGCATAGTAAATAATTTGCAAATAGAGTGTTCATGTTATAATGTCATTTGTCTGGTAATGGTGTTGGCGGTCTTTGATTTGTTTAATAATTTGTTGTATCTACATATGTCGTATGTATATTATGTCTGATGTTGTGGTGTTGTTGTGTTATTTCGATCGTTTCATGTATATGAAGTGTGTCATGTTGGTGGTTGATGTTTCCGTAATGAGTAGCCATGGTGTTGGTTGTTTGGTTTACAATGCGTTGAGTGTATTGTGATGCAGACATTGTTAATGTTGTGGTGTTGTTTGTGCGAATGTGTTATGGTATGTGTACTCGTAAGTTGTTCATTGTATTGGTGTAGGTGTTTGTTTAACTGGTTGGAGTGAAGTGTGAATTGGTGAAGACAGGTGTTTTGGAGGTGCACAGTAATTAGTTTACTGTCTCGTAGTAGTGTCAGTTGTCTGGTGTTGTTGTGATGTTGTTTTGTAGTATGTGTGAATTGCACATATAAGTAAGTATGTATGGGCGTGTGCATGTAAATGACAATACTTTGGTGAATTTCAATGGTAATTACATGCTTGTGGTGTTAGTGATTGAACGTGAATGCGTTATGATGTGTGATGTTGTTGTTGTGGCAGGTAGTGATGGACGACTTTCGGTGAAACGTAGTGATGGTGGGAATTCGTCACGTTCGAAGTTGAAAGTTCAAACATCAACAAGATTGGCATCAAAAAAACAGAAGCAGTTGACGTTTTGGGGGAAAAAAAAAAGTTAGAGGGAGTGGCAAAAAACCTGTAATGAACATAAGGAAACTGATGTACCGGTCAAATGTTGCTGGAGTGATTACAACTGTTTTGGAGCTGCAGCTATGCGATGAACATATCATGCAGCTTCAAAAGACACCGTTCTGGCTTATGATTGAGGCCATTCGTGTACATAAGTTAGATCTTGAAGGGTATAAAAAATGCGACGCAACTGTTTGCCGAATTATCCAAACGTATAGTCCGAACGATGAGAAGTTTCACATTGGGGGTAGTGGACTGCCACTTAGGAACAGTGACATTCGGCTGATTTTTGGGGTCCAATGTAGGAAGGATAAGTTGGATTTGACGCAAGGGGTTAAAGGTCCATCAGATTTTATACAGCGGCGTTGTGGGATTGTTAGTAGGATCTCCTCGAAGGTCATTAAAGACTTGTTGGTAGATGCTATGCGTGGGACTACTAGTTGTGACGAGGAAGATGTTGCGAAACTACTATGTTTGTACATTTGTGTGAAGCTTTTCTTTGCTAGTACTGCTGAGTCAATTTGGTGGGCATTTGTGCGCATAATTGACAAGCTGGAGACATTACGGTTGTATGACTGGACTGCAGCAATTCGTAACATGTTGATTGATTCGTTGAATGAGATGCATGGTAGGCCAGAGAAGGTTACTGGCTGCGTTGTTGCTTTGTTGGTACGTTACGCTGGCCTTAAATCTGTTTGTAGTGTGTAAAAATTATGTTACTTGTTTATTTGAATTTGTGAAATGATTATGTGTGTGGTGCGGTGCAGTTCTTAATTTGCGAGCACACTGCAATCGTTGAACCGGACAGACCAAATGTGTCACCAAGGTTTTGCAGATAGAATGTTGGTGCATTAGTTGGGAAGCTTAAACAGTGGAATTGTCGGTGAACGGTGGGATAGAGATACCAAAAACTAATTGTAGATAGTAATGTGTGCATATTTTGGTTTGGTATATGCTAATTTGTTTGTTAATGGTATAATGTTGTAGGTGAACTGTGACAAACTGAGTGCGTCTATAATAGAGCGTTACTTTGTACAGGCGGCCCATGTTAGTAAGGTAGCGAAGGAGGCGGAGGGGGTTGTGTTGGAAGTTGAGCCGGTTAATGTTTGGAAAGAGTGTGTGGGTGGAGTGGATGTAGAGGAGAGGTGTAATGTTGAAGCTAGTTTTGACTGTTGGAAGCCGAATTTGCCTAGTGATGTTAAGTTCGAATGTAAAGAAGTAAAAGACAAAAGTGAAAAGGACAGGGAGACATCATGCCTTGCAAAGGAAACCGATGTTAAGATATTTGTTGCGGATGACGTGTCGCCAGTTTTGTTCCCTGATTTGTTGGATTTGGCATGCACACCTGAAGGTGCTAAAGTTTGTGATGGCGTAAACTATACGAAGGAGCAGTTAAGTAAAGCTGTAGAACAAGTGAATGAGTTAAAGAATGAGGTCCGTTTGAAGGCCGAACATGTAAGTGAGTTGGAGAATCGTGTCGAAAAGATGGAAGGAATGGTTGAAGCACAGGTAACCAACTTGTATATTGGATTTGACTGTGTTCTTGGGGCTAAAGATGCTGAAATTTCACGGCTTAATAAAGTGGTAGAACAGTTAAGGGGAACAATAACACGAATGGAGGACCAAGTCGACGACCACGTGGCACACGTTGTCACGCAGTCCGTTACAACTACTAACCCAAAATAGCAACCACTTTCTGAAACTAAGGCCTCGTTTGGGGACTGACTATTTTAGTCAAAAAGTCAAAAAGCCAATTAAAACTAGTCACATCACCTCTTTACTTTTCTGCACATCTTTTCGTAAAAAGCCAAAAAGTTACTAAAATAGCCTGTTCCCAAACGAGGCCTAAGCCTGGTTGGAGTATTGGTACAGGGAATTTACATAGCAAGGATAGTGGACAAGGTAGAGCAGCTATGGAAACATGTGAACACCATGTTACGGATGACGTGGCAGCTGTGGTGGACGTCGTGGATGTGGTGGAAGATGTAAAAAACATTGGCCCCCTTCAGGACATGGTGACGGACGAATTAGTTGATGTGGACGGCGGCAACAGTGTCGAGGTGGAGCAGGCAGTCGGGGCAAGTCCTGGACGGAAGATTACGTCTATAGTTAGGCGGGTTAAAAGCAAAGTAAGGCGCGAATTCAAACTTTTAGACTACGAACACACAGGAGTTGCTAGACGTGGTAAACAAGGGGTTAACATGTCAAATGCAGTTGGGTTGGAGTTGATTTCTAATGTTGACGACGTTGAGGTGGAACGTAAAACGTGGAGTGGTTTTGGAATGAACAAAAAGTTTGCGGTGTGGAATATGATGAATGAGGACGAGATGAAGCTGTTAGAGAATGTTTACAACGTGGAGGGTGACTGGTAAATTTTGATAATTTTTAATATTTGTATGTTTTCTATGTTACAGTGGTTACTTTGATGTAAGTAACTGATAATAATGTTTAACAATGGGTTGCAGGGCCGTAATATGGGACGGTGGTGACAACAGGATTCAAGTGTATTTTAAGGGTGTCAAGGATTTGCTCCGACAGAGTTCAATTAATGGAAATGTATGTGCCCCTCCGCATAAAATCTGATCAGTTAAAGTGTGTTGTAACGTATGTAATATTGTAATTTTAAGTACTGGATTGGTTTTGAAGTAAACTCTAAAACCCCAAACAATATACCAAAAATAAAAAGGACTAATTGGATTGCAAGAAAACTTCTAGGACCAAATGGTACAACTTTCTCCCAAATGGGATTTATGGGTAATTTTTCCTATCAATAATTTGTATTAAAAAATAAAAAAATATTTTTCACATATCCTTTTGTTAAAAACTAAAAATTATCTCAAATATATTAATTTTTTTGTATATCATATTTTAGTTAAAAAAATTAAAAAATTACTAAAAAAATTTATTTCCAAACAAAATCTCGACTCGACCCAACATGTGTCAATTTAATTTTTTGGGGTTAAAATTGCATCCACAAGAGTCTTGTTTGGCAAAGATTAAAATTTGGCTTTTTGAGCTAAAATTCACAAAAAAATAAAATAAGTTAAAATAGTTAATAAAATAAAATATCACATCAAATCCATAATCATTTCACTTTTTCTCTCACAAATATTATATCCAACTAAAAAAAAATCCAACCATCTTTCCAAACACAAAAATTTTAGCCTACTAAGAGCATCCACAATGGACACACTAAGTTGTGTGTTAGTGTCAGTTGCCAACTTTTGGCTAGCTGAGGGGGAAGTTTGGTGCTGCAGTAGACCTGTTAACGCGTGTGTTAGGGGTGTATATTAGAGTCAGCTGCTAAGTTATTTGTTATCTGCAGCAAGTGTTCTAG